CCCTTGCATGGGGTATTGCTGCCATATATGGTCTGGTGTCCCTTATGTTTGTCTCAAGGTTCTTGATAAGATCCAGAGACGGATATGCAATGTAATTGGCCCTGAGATGCATCGCATCTGCAGTCGCTCTCTCACAGACATGCCGTCAAATCTCTGTCTTTTTTACAAATCCTTTCATGGTAACTGCTCCGAGGAGCTGCTTCCCAGACTTCTTAAATTTAAGCGTTCTACTAAGCTGACATCTTGCTCATACCTTTTCACTGTCAAAACTGTTAAATGTAGCCGTCTCTTCTACTCCAATAGCTTCATGTCTCACACCTCTTGCCTGTGGAACTCCCCCCCTCTTCCTGTTTCCCTGATAGCTATAATCTCCAACTATTCAAATGTAATGTCAATCGACATCTCCAGATGCCCTGATCTATCCCCTTTCCTTCATCCTTTCCGCTATCACTCCTATTTGCTCTAGCTCCAACTATCTGTAACCCCTTGCGTGCTAGTGGCTTCCCGCCTTGCTTGGGGTAAAAAAAAAAAAAAAAAAAAAAAAAAAACCAACAACAAACACACACAGCACTTCCAGTCGCAAGAACTTCGGATAAAGGTTTCTCAACCTGCATTATTTTTTTTTCATCTCTTCTAACTCATTGTGTAGCTAGTTCCTGTAGGGTAGTTTACCCATTATTAAATCATTTTTAAGTTTAGCTTAATTTGTTTCTCTGTTTTGTGGTTTGGGAAATTGTTATTGATTAATGTATTTTATCATGAAGTGGGGGGGTGCAGATAGTGTAACAGTAACTTGGAAAGAGAAATCAGATATCTAGGTTCAAATTACAGCCAAGATCATTATGTTCACTTTGGCACAAATAACCTTCCCCCTCTAGCTATGGGTTAAATAGCAGGGCTGACTGGGTTCTTTCACCTGGAGGTAGCAACCAATCTAGAAGGAAAGTGAATTTAAAACAAGCCTGAAGAGGGATTAACTGTCAGGCTATCTTGCCCTAGACACACCACTGCTGCTTTGGCTGCAGTATATGCAGTGTCTTCACAACCCTAATGGGTTATGGGACGCTCATCCACACAACTTTATCTTGAAGATATTAAATGTGCTCTATTAATTTATGATGGCTATTTGGTAATATAGTTAAGCAAGCATGTGTTTATGTTTTTGTTTTAAAGTTCTGGTTCAAATCAATTAGCATGTGTAAGAAAGGTAATCTATTATTGATGTTAAGTTCATATGTAAAGACAAGAAAAGAGTTCTTTAAAAACAGGAGTTTTATAATTTTGTCCATAATTTTAGCTAATATATCATTAACATAATGAATGCGAATTGCTGATTTAGCGTGTTTTTTTCTTTTTTTAAGGATTTCATTTTCTAAAGCTGACACAGAATTCTGCAGGGCTGTGGAGTTGGAAGCAATTAAGTGGTCACTGGAGTCAGAGTTAGTAAAACTATACCAACTCTAGCTGAATTTACACTTTATAAAAAAAACGTTTTTCATTATAGAATTTTTATTGTTATTTCTTCTTATGTATATTTACCATTTCCTTTAATGAAATTCATCTTAAATTCTTTAAGTCATTTTATTTTTCATATATAGTTTGGCAAATACAAAATAACTAAGTAAAAAAAATCTTACATTATAGAATTTTTATTTTTGTTGTCTTTTACATCATGTAAAAGATTATATTTCAACTTCTGCTATAAAGTAGTTTTATTTTTGTCCTGTACTTATTTACAAACATTATATATATATATATATATATATATATATATATATATATATATAAATAAAAAAAAAGTGAACATTGAAGTCAACACTCAAAGGCGACAGGCTGTTTCATGCTAGATGCAATCATCAGGCCTGACAATTGTGTCTAGCATGAAACAGCCTGTAGCCTCTGAGTTTAACTTCAATGTTCACTTTTATATTTACATACACTATCTCTGATATTGAGCACTTTATCCCATAAATATAGCACACCTTAAAACTATATATATATATATATATATATATATATATATATATACACACACACACACACACACAAGTCTTACATTATAGCATTTTTATTTCTTCTATATCCTTTCAAAGATTTTATCTCTAATTCTGTTAGAAAATATTAAAGAATGAATAGGTATGATATAAAAGCCACAATATCTTTATTCTTTGACAAACCAATTATAATGATATAGGCCTACTCACGTTACAAGTGAATTCATAGGCTTTATCAGATTTGAAGGCCATAACTCAATTACATAAAGAGGAGTCGAAGTCAAAGATTTTTTTGTTCTGACGCCACAGCCCTGGAATTCTGATAGTGCTGGAAGCAATAGGTGAACCCATAGCAATGCCATCAGTTTATGTAAATATATTTTCTAAATGGGGGGGAAAAAAAAAAAAGGAGCTTCTGTGGTACATGTTAGTAACAGTTCTTTTAGAGAGTTATTGGTTTTATTTTTGAAGGTAGAAGTGATGTTTGTTTATAAACATTTATGAAAGCAATCAAAAAATATTGAACCACTTCAATTAGAGCTCATCCCAGGATTTAGAAAAATTGTCAAAATAAAAAAAAATACACTTTTTCATGGATCATCAGAGGTAAATGCACAAAAACAAACACTGGTGGGGTGCAGGCTTTCTGGTGCTGCTGTCCATCAACTGAGCCAAAGTAAAATGTCCAGATAGGAAGAGGAATTACATTGACCCCGCTGTAGACTCAATGGGTCTGTGAAGAATGTGGCTATATATATGCTTATTACAAGTTGGACTGATATGTCAAAAGTCGTATGCAAGGACATCAGTTTGAATAAATGTTATAAACAGGAAGAATTGATTTGTAAATGAACTGTTTTTATTTTTCCATATATATATATATATATATATATATTTCTTATGGTGAGTTTCACCCTGTATAAGGCCCAAGAGCCACTCGAGGTAGAGGGGTACAGAGTAAGAGGCACAGTTTATGGAGATATGTAAGGGAAGAAAACAGTTAAGCCAAGCTTCAGATAACTGTTTAATATTTTCAATAATCAGTTCATATTTCAGTCATTATTTTGCTGCTTAATTTTTTTTTTGAGTTGAAGCATTTATTTTTTTTCACAGGTTTTTTTTATACCACTTCCCAGTAATTAATTTTTTTTAGAAATAAAAACTGCTTTGCCAATGGAATTAGCATGACCAAATATCATATATCAGAAATACATTAGGTGAAATATTCATTCACTTTACAAGTTGATTTAATACAAAATATATTTTTTCCTTAAACATTAAACAAAGAAAAATTGACAAAAAAAGCTTTAATACATTTACATGCACAATATTTTAAAAATATAAAACATTAACAATAATTTCCCTAAACACATTATTAAAAGACAACTCAATCTGACGTTAGAAAATAAAAACAAACAATAATACAAATTAAAATTTAAAGTCTAATTATGCATAAACCTAACAGCCACCCCTGCTTATCGAAGGAATGGCTACAAGCAGCCAATATAAATTGAATCTTAAATCTTAAGGTGAAAATCAGAAAGCACCTTTTCAGCACCACAAACATGTCCTGGTTATAGGACCCCTGGCACACTGATAGTTGTTTAACAAATACACAGCTATTATAACCCATGGGTTAATTTATTAAGGATACTTAGCAATCACCGACCCAGAGGTTAATTCATTAACTTGTACAAACCTACCTGTGGACAAAGTAAAGGATTTAATAATCTTGTATTTATCACTGGAAATTGAAGAAGAAAAAAAAAGAAAACACCATAAAATTTAACTTTATTTTTATTAATATTATTTCCAATGACTTTATCCATAAATTTTTACATTTAACTTTTCTATTTTTAACTTGAGCTTATAGCTTCAATTTAATAATAACCACTTTTTTTAATACATTGTAAATAAAGATTTAATTTCTTTGAAAGTAATTTTTAAAATGTCTTTGAAAATGTGATGGTGTTTTGGATAGGCCAAATATTTGTGAAGACATTTTAAAAGTTAGCAGATGCCAGAAAAATGGATTGTTTCTATTTTTTTTAAATTTTGAACTACAAAAGATACAGCTTAGATAATGAAACTGACTTTATTTGCTTTGCCAGTAATCAATATTTTAAACCATCAAGTTTATTCTACTGAGAAATGTTTTTAAATTTCATCAATACCATGGCGTACTATACTCTAATATAGAATGCCATGATCAATACTATTTCTGTGCCATAATATTTGTGATTTAGAATTCAGATTTTATGCACTAAATGTATAAAGTATTATAGGACAGAGGTGGTGTATATATATATATATATATATATATATATATATATATGAGCAAGTAGTAAAAGTTCTTTGCCTAACCTGCTTCAAAAAACTCTGATGAAAGATCAAAATTGGGTATTTTTTCTTTCTTTTCTTGTTTCAGAAGAAAACTTCAGGACATGATTATGATTGAAGCCCAAATTAATGCAAGAGCCATGTGTGTCTGAGTGTATACTTTTTCTAATAGTATATTTTAACTATTTATTTGGTTTAAGCCATGTTTTAAAAATCTGAATTGTATACCAAACAAATGTTAGGAAATATTCACTTAGCAAAAATAAATAGAATTAAAAATAAAACCAACAAAAAAAAATGCCAAATATAGTTGAAAGCAAGAAACTGAACATTTAAAATAAAGGGATAATGTCTGAATATTCCTTATCTAATGATATTTTAAATTGAAAGATCAACAGTCCTCAATACATTTTTACAAGATATTGTGCAACAATTCATATTAAATAAAACTCCAGTGAAAATAGTGTTCAGAAAACAGGAAATGAGAAAAAAAAATATATAATTAAAAGAAAATGAGAAAAAAAAATTTATTGCTGGTTAACTGGATATGAGGCCAGCTCAGGCATTGTGGCCAAAGCCACAATTTCATATGTCCATTTGTTTGCCCATCAAATTTCCAAACCTCAACCAATGGAAATGAAGACAAATTACAGATCATCATCATCATCAACTTTTACAGTTTCGATAAATTTGTTTAAATTCATTGATCATTGTTACTAAATGTGGGTTCCCACCAAATGACTCAATAAGTTGGAGAATCCTGCAAAAGAAATAGACATATATTTACTTCTTTTCAAAAATCAATCATATATTTTCCGGATTAAACAAAAGGCTGAAAAACACAAAAATAAGTAAGTAACTTGTAAAATGACAATCATTGCATTTAATGATTTTTTATATATATTAGTTAAACCTAGTGAGCCAGACAAACTTAACCAGGTTTCACCTAAGCGGATCGTCAGGGAAAGATGAAAGTAGAGCCAGCTTTCCCTGATGATCCGCTTAGGTGAAACCTGGGTAGGTTTGTCTGGCCCACTAGGTTGACTAGGTTTGCTCTACAGTTATATTGAGCTCTTTTTAGTTAGTTGTTTACTCGTTTTGGGGTTTTTCTTTGGGATTTGAACCTGTATCTGTGCGATTTTTTTCGACAGATTTTCATGTTCCTGGCTCTTTCTTTTTTAAAACCTTTTTTTTTTCCTTCGAGATTGATTTGATTATTGGCAAATCAAAAATTCAAAGGTTTTTCAAGACGAATATATATATATATATATATATATATATATATATATATATATATATATATATATATATTACAATACTGTTCACATTGTCAAAAGCTCAAGAGCCACAGTTTAAGAAGATATATGGGGAAGATAATTGTTAAGCCTAGAATTGAAAAGGTTAAGATAGGGATAGGGGAAGCATCCTCTTGGGAGTCAGGTCCACAAGGCAGCAGTTTGTGTGAAGAAGTTGTTTGAGTGGCATATGAAGGGAATGATGGTGGTTTCTTAGAATGTGTGTGGCATGGGAGTGGGTCTTAGCCATGAAGGTTAGAACTTGTGGAACTAAGGAATGTAGACTGTCTGCACACTTTCCATGGAAATAACAATAGAGTAGCGAGATGCTTGCAACATTTCATCTGTAGGAAAAGGGTTGTAGAGTTGAAAATAATTCATCACCTACAAGGCCGCAGAGAACAATCAAGACTGAAAAGTAAACATTGGGTAATTCCTGCCCATATATAGCAGCAGTGTTCTATTTTTGCCCTGACTTGGATAGCAGGAGGAGTGAGATACTTACTGGGGCTGTACATGAAACTGAACATTTTTTCCAGCATCTTTAGTGATGGATCAAATGTACGAGTTTCACTTGAGATCTGGGTTGCACTTAAGTCCCAGTAGACACTCAAGGTTCAGGGTTGCCCAAGAGAACACCTGTGCATTGTGATAGGCGAAAATTCAGGGTGCCCCCAGTGATGGTGGAATATTACTTATTTAGTTTTCAAATTTTTAGTAAGTATTTCTTTGTTTTTATAACTAGTAGTTTTACTACTATTTATAAAGGGAATGGGGTGCAGAAAAATTTTCATTATCCCACTCAAATGAAGCACTGTCAATTATCGTATATACTTGTATATCATGCAACTTTTGGAGGCCTAATTTTTAAATTAATTTTTCAGGGGGTTGCATCATACATGAGATATAAAATTAGCGCAGGTACTGCTGGACCTGGTTATGCCATTTTCTAAACTATATATCCATTTAGTGTAGTCAAAAAGTACAGCTGTATTTAAAATAAATATAATTTTAATAAAACTAATGTTTTACTTAACTGTATCTAATAATAATGCATATAATATTCACATATTAGTATCGTATTATAAAATACAAACATAGCGAATATGCATCTTTTCCATTTTTTACATTTATGAGATGTTTAACTGTTTCTTGTTCAGTTGTTTATGGCAATGGGTATAGAATTACTAACAATACTTTTATCATTCTCTTTTACTTTTTTAACTTATTTAACTAGAATATGGGATAAAGAGATAGAGGAAAAGAGGTTAGTCTATTGTAATTTGGTCTCTCAAAAAAGGAACTCATGAGATACATGATAAAATTTTTTATAATTTAGGGTCACAATATGTGAGATTGTGCATTACACAAAAATATATGGTATGTATTTCTATTATATTTTTCTTTTGATTTTTATTACACAAGTAATATTTGTAATATCATTTTTTAAATGACACATTGTCAATTATTATTATTTTTTAAGTAGTATTTTTATCAATTTCTTTATTGCTTTCTCTTGCAACTACATTCCATGGATGTTAGTAAATAGGGCAGATTAGAAAAAAAAAAAAGAAAAAGGTAATAATTCTACTAATCCTACTTGTGCATATAAAAGCAAAAATACAAGAGACATTAAAAATGACAGTGGCAGGGGTTCAGCAAAACTGGGGAATAAATGTCTAGGGTTAGATTTGAACTTCTCAATGTTTTCCTCCAATATCCATTTCATCTTCTGCAATCACTGGCTTTGAGAGTTTAAATGCTAAATCAGCTGTCTGAGGGGAAAGAGTTTGCATTTTGCCAAAAGTTTATATTAATACTCTTTAAAAATGAATAAAGATTTTATGTTGAAAAGCTCAAAAGAATTAATGCAGAAATTTTATTAGAGCAATAAAAATGAACATATTAAAATATGTCCATAATAAAAAAAGGGAGGTAAAATTATATATATATTACCATAAATTGCTAATACTAAAATAAAAATAATAATAGTGAAAGTGGTTTATCAGTCTTCTCTTATCAAAGCAAAAATCAAGGACAAGAGAAAAAAAAATGTGTACAACAACTAAAAATGTACAATCCCAGACTAATATAAAAAAATCTAACATTAAAAGGTTAATTACCTAAAAGGTATACAATTTACATAAGTGCGTTAATGTATCAGGTTCAGTAATCGCCATGTATTCGCTTTTATAACCTGGACATGTTCTCAGAGCTGAGTAAAGTTAATGCCAATTATCAGCTGAAGGCTTTGGAATCAGTATATATTAAGCACAACAAACCATATCTCTGTAAACAGAAGTGGTTAGTGGACTTAAAGGTAATTAGCTTTTAATGCTATACAGGGTGTCCCAAAATAATGTATACACTCTTTGAATTGTTATAACTTATTCAATTTATGTATTTTGACTTGTAAATAAGAGAAAGAATACACATTTAAAGAATTTGAGAGTAAAATATACAAAAAACATAGAAAATTAACTTTAATAAGATGAAAGCTACTTGGGGCAATGGCAGAATGTTCATATAATGATGAGTTCACATCAAGTGCTCAAAATGGTTGCCATTCTGTTCAATACACTTTTCATATCTTGAAGAAACAGAAACGTCCAGTATCATTTCCTCTGGTATTTGAGCACATTCTTCTTCAATTGCTACTCTCATTTCAGCAATTGTTTCAGGTTTCCTGCTGTAAACTTTGTCTTTTAGAAACCCCCACAAAAAAAATCCAAGGGTGTCAAATCTGGTGATCTAGGTGGGGATTCAACTGTCCCTCTTCTTCCAATCCATCTGTTTTGCATATTTTCATCCATATAAGTTCTCACATAACGGTAATGTATTATTAACTATTAATATTTAAAGAGTGTATACATTATTTTGGGACACACTGTATTTTTTGTTTGCATATAACATTAATCTGGGGTTTTTATATATATATATATATATATATATATATGTATGTATGTATAAAATATGCAATAAAATCCAAAATAATGGTTTCATCTTTTGGTTTTGGGTAACAAATCAACACAGTCAATGATAATGTGACAAAATGGTTCCTCAAAACCAGGGACAGAGTGTAGGGGTGCTATGGAGATTTTTTTTGTTCAACTTCCTGAGTACCTGACAAGTGTGACAGAATTCAGACACATCTTTCTGGAATCTTAGCCTATAAAAATGCTTAATAACTTTGTCACATGTTTTAGTAATGCCAAGGTGCCCTCCCAGAAGAATTTCATGAGCCATTCTCATTACTTCTGGCCTGTATTGTTTTGGAAGTATCACTTGGTGGACAACTGATCTGAAGCTGGAATGTGAAGGGATCTCCACTTCCTCATTAATACTTTATTCTTGATAAAATACCCAGTTGGAACTTTCTCCAATTCCTCCTCAGGCAACACATAATTGAAGAGTGGGGTGAGCTAAGAATCTCTCCCCTGTTCTGTTACGAGTAATCTCCTTGATAAGTGAATGTCCGTAGTGCGCCCAACAACACCATCGCTTTTCCCAGTTGTGAGACTATCAGGAGTATAATTTAATCCCACATCAGGATTCAGAAAGGTCTGAGACAGGTCAATCACCTCGTCCTCTCTCCTATCAATGTTCTCCTTGTCTATCTTTCTAATGGTCTTTCTAACCTGTGCTCCAGAGTCACTGCACATGACAGAAATATACTGGGATTCTCTTTCTTGATATTTCCGGTGTCTATCAAGGCAAGCGATTCTGAAACTACTTTAGGGTGGGATATCACCCTTCTGCCTGCCAATTTGTTTCCTAACAATATAGATATGCCCTTCATAGGCAAACTGGGTACCACTCCGATCTTGACAGAACCAGACACTAACTCAAATATAAGATGGATATGATACAGGGAGATTCTAACAAAGCTGCCGCTAACACCCTGTACAATAACAGGTTCACCTGTGGCCAAATTCGATCCACATGACAAGAAGCCTTTCAAAATCAGGGACCGAGTCACCTAGTGTCTCGCACTGGGATGACTCAGATTTACAGATATTTTCTTCATAGGCTCACCCACGGGGGATACAGAACCATTAGACACAAATGGCCTATACTCTACTCTCACATCTCCATCGTTGGATTTCCTATTCATGGTAATTCTATGGCAAGAAATTAACTCCTGGGGTCTGTCTTGGCATTTGGCTCCAGACTTGGCATTCTGCTCCATCCCACAATTCAATACAAGGTGTCCTACTTTATTGCAGTAGTGGTATATCATTAGTTTCCTTTCCCTCCTATTTGTCTGCTGATATATGAGTGACTGAGGACTAGGACTGAGTCAAACTGAATGGTTAGCCTAAACTAACCAATCGACTAGACTTTGAATTCAGACCAGAGCCAGATCCATGTCTTGGACATGGACTGCTCCCAAACTCGAATGGGTTACTGTAACTGGGTTTACCCCATTTATGCATTAACGCATATTCGTCAGCGAGGGTGGCCATCTTATATATATTATCTACTCTGTTCTCATCAAGGTAGGTTTTCAAATGATCAGGGGATACATTCTGTTATCAGATCATTTGCCTCGGTCTGTCATGATCTGCCTCAACGTTTTTTGCCAAGCTCCACTATCAAAATATTTCCTTCTGTCTTGAGAACTATGTATGTCTGCTTGCCTTTCTTTTAGTATGTTCTAAATTTTTACAGATATGTCTGTGATACTAGTTCATACAATTTAAGAATAGCTGACTTGACAACATCATATTTAGCGCAGTCTGTTACTGAGAGAGTGGCATATGCTTCTTGGGCCTTGCTTTTAATGTGGTCTGCAGCAACATTAGTGAAGTTTCTACGAGCCATGCTATGTTCGAGGCAACCTTTTTGAAATGTTGTAAATGCTTGTCAATGTCAGCCTCATTAAACTGTGGTACAAGTCAGACCTGCTTCGCTAAGTTGAATTCACTTCTTGCTTCATGAAATTCCTGCCTTTCATCTAACTCCCAAAATCATTTGCTCAATTCTAGCCTTCTCAATTTCAACATTTGCTCTTTCACCTTTGGCTCTGACCTTATTCTCAGCTTCAATTTTTGCATACTTGAAATTGAATTGAACCTGCAAAAGTTCCAGCATATCTTCTGATAATTGATGTAATGCTTCTTTGTCAAAGACGTCATCATCTAGCATATGTTTAGTGACTACTCTAACTCTTATGCCTAATGAAATGAGTTTTTCTCATGGACTTCCTCATCTCTAGTTTTAACTTCTTTCCTATTTCAACTATATCATCTTTTTTCAACTTACATAATTTCTCCATAGAGGGTGATACAAGAAAGCTATCTACAACTGACAATTTGGTCTGCTGTCCAGCAATACCCTGAAGTTGTGCAATTCTTACTAAGTGAAAAATCTTTGGATAAGTCCCCAATTTTATATGTCTCACTTCTTTGTTTATTCCTTGTTTCCTTGAAAAAAGGACATGGGTGAGTCAGAAAATCTTTCTCTTCAATTTAGTCAAAAGGCTAATATATGTAATAAATATCATCAATCTTATTGCCAATATTGTGATCTTTTTGATGTCTTTTTATTCCTCAAATTTCATCCTATTAAATCTACACACAAACACACACACACTTTATTACCGCTTGTATTTATGGATGTTCTTTTAATGTTTGTGCTTATTGCTCTAATATAGAGGAATTCAATAACAAATAACTTTCAAATAATATATTTTGTAAATTGGCTAAAGCTAAAGGGATGCCCAGAAAGTAAGGTATAGATAGGCATGAATCAATTGGAATTAAAACATTGTGAAAGTTGCAAACATGAAGCCACAGAGAGTATGCAATATTTCTTGTAATGGCCAAAACAACCTTAACATTAAGCACATTAGTCTATCAAATTACAAAAAAGATGTTTGCCTCATATAACAATAGAAAAAAATCAAGTGTGAGTTATAATCAAATTTTTGCATGTCAAGGACAATAATCCAAGTAAAACAGTTGACTGAAGAACACAAGTTTCAGTGCATGGACAACTTTGACAAGTGATATAGTATAGCTGATAGGGACTTTATAGCACACCTGATCACAGGTAATGAGATCTGAAGTATCATATTACACTGAAGATAAATATTGATTTCATGATATGGAAGCATCCACTGTCACTCATCCATCAAAAATTCCAAGTCCAGCAGACAGCCAAAAATGGCCACAGTGTTCTGGGATACAAAATGTCTGCTGCTTGTGAAATTTATACTGTATGGTCAGACGTCATAGTTAGAGACTGACTGAGAGAAGATGTGTGTCAAAAGAAACCTGGACATTTGTACAAGAGTGTCACATCTTGCTGCATGACAATATTACTGTCCTGACCCCCTACAATCCTGACTTGGCTTCTTCAAGATGCCCATTTGTTTAGGCCTCTTAAATGATATTTATCCAGGAAACAATCTCACACAGATGCTGCTGCAAGGATGGCTCTAGCCACTTGGCACCACATTCTTTTAGGAAGGGATTTATAAACGCATGCACTGAAGGGAAAAATGCATCAAACTCAATTGTAACATTGAAAAGTTGCATAATATTTCTGCTATAATATGCATAATACTTTAATAGTACTTTAATTGTCTAGTAATAATCATAATGGTACCTGTCCTGCTTTTACTGTTAACATCTCTCAGTTCATCTGTCTTTGTGCAACTGATATCTCAGTGTGCAGCTGAGAGGTGCTCAGTCCCAGGGGGGGGGGAAACTGCCTACAACAACAGCCACCTCATTGCATTAAAGAGGAAGGTTCAGTAATAATACTGATGCCAGCACAACCAACATTTGCAGGGGTTGGGTAATTTTTCGCCCTGATCTAAGTGTACGCACTCAGGTATACCACAATAAACTGACCTTGTGTAACATCACCTTACCATGTCTGGGGGTGTGGAGGAGTATATACCATAATCATGCTGGATTAGTAAATGTTTGTACTGAACATTTTTGGATATCCTAGTATTGAATTATTTTTAGAAGGCATTTTCATGCTGTAGAGTATTACAATATTACGTATTAGTATCACATGCGATTGGTCTATATCAATGTTGACAAAGAGTATAATGCTTTTAGTTATTACTGCCAAGACCAGAGAATGATTGTTAATATAGATCAGCACATGGATATACCCTATTTCCGGTTTTGTTACCACTTCATCTCCAACAAAATTCCTCATCCACCCATTTACTTTCCATTCCCCTTCAGTTAAAGTGGATGCCTCTTAGAAGAGGACTTTAAAAAGAAACATCCACTGGTCTATCAAACAGAAACACTGGAGATCAAGATAAAATCATCTTTTCCATTTCTACATAGGTATCTATAGTATGACATAATTACTATTGTATATAAATTAAAAGGAGAGCCAAAAACTGAAAAAATAAAGAGGGAAAGTATTCTAAAGCTGTTATTGTAAATGCGATGAAAACCTCATTACAATTTGATCCTGTATTTAACAACACAAAGAATGAAAATCATTTTTTCTGTTAAGAGTAGGGCAACAAACATTTTGTCAAATTCCTTGTTATATTTCTAAAATCAATTTTAATGAAGCATTTCAAGTAATCTACAAAACCAACTTACTTTTCTTCCATTTCAATGAGAACTGATTCTGTATAAGTAAAAGTCCCACGTTCTTCTAGCAGATCAACACAGTATTTCTTGAGACCTTTGTCTTCAGTTCTCTGGCGCAAGATGCCTATTTTTAGTTAAGGAGCCCAACAAACACACAGAAATTATATTGGTATTTATTCAGTATGCTACTTTGAAGAAAAATTATTAAAAAAAATAAAAAATAAAAAAAAATAAAAAAACACAGGAAATAAAAGGCTGAACATTTATACATTTTTCTTTATACAGAATACCTAAAGAATTGGGGATAAAGCTAAAAAAAAAATTCTTCATTTCTTCAAAACCTTTAAAAGCTTAAATGTGCAAATCTCCTTTGATTTATGCACTTATTCAGAAATGTAAACTGCTTCACGGGCAAGCTGCACTTGATAAGGAGGAAAAAAAACAAAAGACACCCCCACCAAAAAAAACAAACAAAAACATGAAAATTCTGATATTTTTCCCTATTTTATACTAGCATTTTATATTATATATATATATATATATATATATATACACACACACACACAAGAGAGAGAGAGAGGGAGAGATGGCTGAGTGGTTCGAACATTCATTTTCTGATCATGAGACTCTTTTTTGAATTACACCATGGTTGATCTGTCAGTGGCATCTTTAGAAACAATCTGAAAACCACACCATAAGCTGACGCAAGTCATGTGAATGAAATTGGGCAGATGGAATTGTTTGTATATGCTTGTGCTAGCATGAAGTCACACGACATCATGACAGAGGATTTTTTAGTGTACTGGTCTTGTTCAAACTTTTGATTGTGCCATATTATGTGCTCCCTTCCAGAAACTTCTCATGGCTTGCTCAACATGATTGTAGTATAAACCAACCACAGGTGGGATCTGTGGTTGTTTGAACAAACACAAATATACCTGAGCAGGCATCTGCAACTGTGATTGGCTAGCCACTCTAGCAGGCCGGTCTACTTTATATATATATATATATATATATATATATATATATTCCTGTTGCTATATTCAGAGATCCTCACTGTTGTACAATATGTGGACTTACATGCAGGTCAGTAGCAGGACTGAAGTGTCACATACAGCACAAACATAAAAACAGAATGAGGTCGTTGGATACTCATACGTCAAAATTGACAGGAGAGTCCACACACACTCACTTATTGCTCATTGTATATTTCTTGTTAGCCTAAATTTTATCTCTAATTTTGCATAACCACCAGCATTCACCGTATATATATATATATATATATATATATATATATATGACAAAATATAGTTTTAAGGTATGCTAAATTTATGGGTTAAAGAGAGAGCGTATGTAAATATAAAAGTGGATATTAACATCAACAACCAGAGGCAAATGTAATCGTCAGCTCATATATATATGTGTGTGTATATGGATTTAGTATAGTTTTAATTCAACATTTTCATTACTTCAAATGCTATTTTAGTAGATAGCCATGTTTGAATAGATGCCCCATTTTTTTTTAAGCAGTGTGTATTACATCTATCGACCTGTAAACTCTAATAAACTTAAAATATATTTTCTTAAAAAAGTTTTCTTGAGGGCACAGGCTAACAGACATAATGCATACTGTTTAAAATATGGGACAGCTATTCAAACAGAAAAAATAACGTTTGAATATCTGTGCACGTATGCATACCAGTATACTATAATTATACATAAAATACCGTTATTTTATCTTTAACGCTTCCATTAATTCTTGACTTGCAATCCTTTTTCTTAATGCACAATACATTTCTATATACAATGTATTAACATTGTATTCCGTCAATAATGCTTGTCTTCACCATTCATGGCCATTGAAAATCCTTCTTTACTTCATTTATAATGCAAAATATATAGACTGGATAAAAAAAATTCACTGATTAATCATCAAAGCGATTCTTTTACACTAGAAATATTAAAGTGTAGAAAACTGACCGGAATGAAGTAGTTATAAACACATAACAACATCAATGCATATTGGTAAGAAAAGCTCAAATCTCAATCACAAATATTGGTTAAAATGACGTTGGTACTAAAATACAACTGTGATTATCATTTCCATATTTATCTTCTGCCACCAGAACTTGTCTCCTTATTTAGGTAATCATAAGTGTGAATCAATATTTTGATGTATTTTAGTCAATCCTAGCCATGATATCATGGGTTACATAAGTTAATCACAAAATAATTGTACTCTCATCTTTTCCAAAAATCAATTTATCAAAGCATGAAAAATAATAATAAAAAAGGAATGAAATAATAATTTTTATTTTGGTCCAAACCAAGAAAAGGATACTCAATACTTGATTGTCATCTTTGTAACTGTTGATTGCGTGAATAAGAGGAAAAGAAAATTTACCCTCAGTCAGATCTTCACAATAACTTTTGTTCACTTCATACTGAAAGAAAGATAGAAAAAATGTTTTTTCAATGATTTGATGAAAACCAAGAAAAAACAAGCAAAATCACATCCAGTGTTAGCACCAGAAAGGAAATAATTTCAGTAAAGAGAAAATTGATTTACATAAAGAAATACAGGGGAAAAAAAAAAAAAAGTATCTCTTTAATGGATTTTTTTTTCTCAGTGCTGCATCTACCTAATACAGGGGACATTTTTTTTGTCTTTACACGAATTTAATGGAGAAAAAAAAAAAGAAAAGAGTAATAATTATTATTATTATTATTATCATTATTATTAATGATAATTATTATATTTCCTTTGATTTCTGGTGTATACTCATTTGTTTCCAGGATGCTGAGCAGTTAAAAAAAAAAAAAAAAAAAAAAAAAAAGAAAACCTAAGATCACACACATTTAATGGAGATAAAGCCCTTCATAAAGGTGTGAGCGGAATTTGTAAGTTCAATTTTTTGTATTTCTTTAAGGCTTGGGCTACCAGGGATCCCTTCAATGTGTCAATCAGAACCTTTTCTAATAAAATGAGGGCTCCAACTACAACAGGAATTGTTGATGCCATCACATGCCACATTTTTGTTTCATGCTACTATTATAATAATAATAATAATAAATATCCAGTAATTCCTTGAGATATGAGCATACTGACATACAAGTTTTTGAGATACGAGCTGGAGTTCAGTTGATTTTTTTGCCTTGAAATACAAGTGAGTTTCAGTTAAGCATCCACAGTATGCGTGTTCTCCTCTGCCCTGGAAAGATCTCTGTTGTGTTGTGTCTTTTTTGCTGTTATTTTGCAAAATTCCTTTATTGACACCATGTGTCCGAAAAAAGAAACTGTAAAGAGTAGTGGTGAATTTTTAGGGGCCTGGAATGGATCGAAAATATTCCCATTAATTTCAATGGGAAAAATTGATTTGAGATACAAGTCTTGAGTTATGAGCTCGGTTTTGGAACAAATTAATTTATATCTCAAGGAATTAATATATATATATATATATATATATATATATATATACACACACACACACACACAGAGAAACAGAGGGTGTGGTGGATAAATTGTCATCTAAATTATGCAAAAAAAAAAAAGAAAATAACACTGACATCTCATTTTAACAGATATAATTTATCAAAATAACACAAAAATATCTTGAAATAAGTAAAATTGCCATTGGCATCAACCACGGCCTCCAGATGACTTCAGAATCTCCTGTAACTCTTCTGGACTGCCTCCTTGTTTAAATTGGTGAATGCTGCTATAATCTTTGCTTTCAGTTCATCTTTGGTGTTATAAGAAGTTTTGCCTCTTGCACAAATGTGCCCCACACATAATAATCAAGGGGGGTTTCAGTTTGGGGAGTTAGGTGACCAGATGTAAGGGGCTATATGGTCACAAAAATTATCTGACAGACATGATTGGATTCTATTGCTTGTGTGGCATGGTGCAGAGTACTGTTGCCAAACATAGGGTCTTCTAGCAGCCACCCTATTGACCTATGGCAGCACTACCTCTTCAAGACACATAATATAGGCTTCCATGTTGAGTCTGAGGCCCTGTGGGAAGATGAATGGAGGCATAATGTCAACATCACTAGTGATCACTCCAAACACCATGTTGACTGAATATATCATCCAACTCTTTCTAAATCCTCTGCACTGGCAGCAGATTGACACCCAGACACTCTGAAATGTTCATATTGGAGCTTCCGGTGGAAATGCCAAGTAGTACAGCATGCCATTTTCCAAATTTCTGGTAGAGTGAATTGTGTCATTGTGCACTTTTTCTCATGGAGGGTGCTCAACTGACTCTACTATACTGTACAGCCAGCAAAATCAAAAACAATGTGTATGCATGAAATTAATAATATAAAATGGCGACAATTTACCCATCGCACTGTGTGTGTGTGTGTGTGTGTGTGTGTGTGTGTGTGTGTGTGTGTGAATTCAAATAATAGGAAAGAACAGTTAGATTCATAATCCAGAGTTCTTTAGCAATTATTTTTATTTAAAAAAAGAAAAAAAAAACAATGCTTGATACAAAGTAGAGCTTAATATTATAATTAGTTTTTAAATAATTTATAAATGCGTAATTAAATTCTATTAATTTTACAGTACCATATATAGTCTATTAGTAAATTAAATAAATACAGTATTTTAGATATGTATAAAAATATAAATATAAAAATATGACTTAATCATATTTCAATACCCCATTAAGAAAATTTTGATGTAGTTTTAAAAAAGAAAATAATTAAATAAAAAATGCCAAATATATTGTAGTGTAAACCTTAATAAGATAAAATAAACTAGACAGTAATAACTTGACAGCTTGAAAGAAAATCAATGTAGCTAGACAAAAATCATAACCCCCACCCAACCGTAACCGACTTTAAATTTGCCACACAAAGATACACTTGCTTTCTACATTCATAGAAAAGCCAACACCCCCTTAATAAAGAAAATGGGAATTCTCTTAACACCACCAACTTAAAAATAGAGTAAATCCAATTTTTTTGTAAGTTATTCTTAGCATCGTTTGAGAATTGAACTGAGCTCCAAATTTTAAGTTTAAAGTTAAATTTTAGGATTTAAGCTTCAGTTTCAGTGATTTCTGCATTGTGATGGAGACATATTTTTTTAAAAATAATATATATATATATATATATATATATATATATATTCACACTCTGAGGATTAACTGAAGATGACTTGGTCAAGATTCCTTGAGGAATTTTCAATGCAAAAACAATTCCTGACAGCAAAATCTAGTTCATTGTAGAACGTAGCTAAATTTGAAAAGTTCACTTTTAGAGATGAGGTATGCAGGATTCATAATTCAGCCAATAGAAAATTCACACATCTTTCCAATTCATAATACCAGTTTGAAATAACAAATGTTTTTGCTTTCTTCACAAATTCTGCAAACAAATTTTCTATCTCATATTGATTTTTACAGCTGTAACATGGCTAAAAGGAAAGTGCGAAAAGCAGGTATTGTAATTTGTGGGTCCATAATTTATTTTGTACAATCTGAACATCAAAACTGGAGGTCTCTCCATAACAAAAAAAACTTTTGATTTACTGACAAATAACTCAAGTCATTTTCTTTTTCTTCGGTCATTACAAATCAACAATATTTTGATAACAATAAATGTTAAATGGAGATCACATTGCTTGATTGATAAAAGTAAAGTAAAAAAAGTAAAAAGTACTTTATATTAATTTATTTCAAGCGTATATTTGAAATTCTTTATAAAAACATGGATAGTCAACTATAATTGCATCCATTTTTCAATAATGTTTCATTTTGTGCATATCTGGTAAATGTCAGGCTGGTGGTGGTGGCATCAGTTTCATGATAATATTCTATATTACAATTTAATTATTGTTGAATTTATACATTGCAGTTATCATCAAAAGTTACTAGTGAGATAACCATATACTGTTTTATCTTATAGGAACTGTGTCATTTTGGGACATTGTGGAGTAGAGATAAAGTCAATGGACAGCAAAAAAAAGCCAAAGCTTTATGAATATGCATGGATTTCAAACACAATTGGTGCTAAAATACAACCACGATTATTTCTGGCCTTATGCCATACTAAACCAATGTTTAGTAAATATAAAGAATTATGACATTTAAAATAAAAATAAAAGATAGTAATTTTTTTTCTTTTATTAGACTTTATACATTAGAGGAGAACTGTGTTAATTTATTTCTGTTTACTCATTAATGTCAACCATAAAATCTGATATTATACAGCAAGAGGCAAAAAAAATGGTCATACCCACAGAAAGTCAATTTTTGTATTTTTATCAAGACAAGTGAATAACAGAATTCGTGTATTAATACAAGTGTACATATATACATTATACAAGTCAAAAAATGATTTATATTTCCTTTGGTAACCTTTTGCTTTAATAACAGCCTTAATTCTTCATGGCATGCTATAGACTAAATTCTTTAGTAAGTCAACGTCCTTCACCAGATTTTTCCAGCATTTCTTTAATTCGCAAAAAAGCCCATCTTCTGTGTTAGCTTTCATATTACAGGCATGCTTGCCCATTATCACCCAAATGTTTTCACTTGTGTTAAGGTCAGGACTCTGACTAGGCCACTGGATGAGTTGCAATTTACCCTCATCGTGCTTCCTCTCTAGATAACGTTTATTCTTTAAGGTCGCATTTTTAGGATCATTATCATGTTGGAACATGAAGTGTTGATCTTGGGCAAAAAGCCACTTTTGATTAACAAGAATGTTGTGGTATTGATGCTGGCCCATTATTCTATTACTCACTTTGTAAAAATACAAAAATCGACTTTCTATGGGTGCATCCATTTTTTTGCCTCATACTGTAGGTTTTCATAAAAAACAACAAAAAACAAAAAAAAAAAACAAACCTAGAACAGTATTAATTACATATGACCCATTAATATTCCTTGATCTATTTTTAAGATGATGGATATTAATGGGTTAATGTTTGAATAAACCAATTTCAAAAGATGTATCAAAAGCCCAGATTTTTTGCACCAATGTCATCATTAAAAGGAAATCATTCTTTCCTAGTATATTAATATGGGTGGGTCAGCACATCTGCTTAGGGTAAGTGTAATATCTATGAAATATAAAAAGACTAAAAGGAAAAGAAAGCTAGAAAAAAAAAATGCAGGAAAAAAGGTGGAGGCAAAAGAGAAAGTTGTTGTTTTGAGTTTTATTACTTCTTTGGTCATTTAAAATGGGTGAAACTGTTACATTGTTTTTATTCTAATACGTGATGCACACCTTATGTAGGAAGGCAAGTAAATACTATTACATTAATATACAGCCGATTTCAGAAATTAAAAAAAAAAAAAAATACTTACTGATTTGTCTTTAAGGTTGCAGTAATCATCTCGGATTTGGAAGTACAAGCCAAGTAAATCAAGCAACTGTTTGAAATCACTTTAATAGATAAAATTAAAAGCATGAATTTAAAAGAAAAAAAAATTTTTTTTACAAGTTTTAATTTACTTTGTATTGTTAAAAATGTAGAAAGTATGATGGGAACCATGAGAACAATAAACTGCTTTAAGTTAATCCTAATGATAGTTCAGTAACCTAAAGCAGTCATTCCTAAATGGTTTGGTGAAAGAGGATAGCAGGTGAGGCAGAATGATTGAAAGACAAAGATTTAGAAACAGTTTCAAAAAATTCATATGCCAAAAATCAATGATTTAAAAATTGAAAATATTATTATGGATTACTTGTAATTGCATGTATGAGTTGCAGTATAAATAGTTATAAATAATTATTGACAGATTTTATCATTGTGATATTTTTGCATTATATCAAGTTTAATACTTGAATATAGTAAATAAGGTCTGCAAATAGGAGAGAGTTATCAATGATAATGTTATGTCTTTGAATCCGCGGTTACCTCCCTTTAACCATCTGCTTTGTTTTTTTTTTAATTTTTAAATGTACTTTTTTTATCACATAAAATTTGATGAGATGCAAGCAAATTTTAATTCCAAAAATGCAGAAAAAAGTTTGGGAACAACTGCCCTAAAATAACATCTAATTTTAGTAGAATTTTCTGATAAGGTCTTTGATGAGAACCAATAGTAAATAGTCACAAAAAATATTTTTGTTTTGTTTACATTTATGTTGCAATGATACTGTGATTCTAAAATAAGAAAGAGCATAAAATTTCCATTTGCACAAAAAAAAAAAAAAAAAAGATGAATGAAATTTTGTTTCCATATCTTTTCATATATGAATGTTCAATGAAAATCACAACACACTGCTTTCAAAACAAATCTGCCAAAAGTCCATTAAATTTTGAGAACATCATTTGAAGAATAAAGGCAAAATTCTTATTTTCAGATTGGTTAATTATTTTCTGAAGAAAAAGGTGGAATAAGGATCAAAGAACATATCACTGAAATAACTGTAACAAAATTATTTCTAAACGATTGCTTAGTAGATAAACAATAAAAAAATGATAGAAGAATCAGTCTTACTTAGTATTTGTGCTGAAGATCTGCATCAGTCTTACTGCCAAACCAAACAGGCCACCAGTTTCTACAGGAAAGAAATAATTGTGAAGACATGTTTATTAAGCAAGATAATTTTAAAGGATTTAAAATAAATACTTAATGTACTTAGTATTTGACTAAAATAAGAAGGCATGCTTATGTTATATGCTTCTATAGTATTATAGATCAACTGCATTTATCTCCCCTTATATGAGATTTTCTGAGCGAAGTACAAACAGAACAATTGAAAATGGTAAATTTCTTTCTATCATTTAAAGAGTTATTCAACCGATTGATCTCATTCTTTTTCTTGCTTTCCTTGATATTGCAATGCTACAGTCGCCCCTTTCGATAACCTTTAGAGAAACAATCTACAGGGATCCTTTTTTTTTTTTTTTGATAAAACACATCAGAAAATAAATTGGTCATAGCAACCATTACACTTAATATCACATCAACATATGAATTTGGTTTGCACTACACACAAAATAAGAAAAAAGCTACTTCCATGATGATTGTATATCTGAAGAGTTTTGTAGTATCAACTGGCTGAAAATAAAATTAATCAGACCAGTTGTCCTAAGAATGCTTTGAATGAGTGGAAGATTAATTTAAGGATGTAGTCTTACTTCGAATAACCATGGCTTTGTATTCTTCCTCAGTTGGACAGTGAACTGCATCTCTCCAATAAATATCCATTCCTTGTCCACGATGAACTTCCAGCATTTGTTCTGGTTTAGAATAACAGAAAATGACAGATAGAAGCTTCACATAAAACAAGGCTGAACTAACAAAAGATGACTTGATAAAAATTAGGCATTTCCATAGATGTAGCAAAAAGATATAAATATTTTTCACCATTGTTATTTTGTTGTCTTAAAGTAAAGAATATGAAATTGCTTAAACTGGATATTTTATTCTTTCAAAAAACAACATTTTAATATAAAATAGGATGATTTTTTTAAAGAATTTTCCTTGGAAAAGTTGCAATGGACATGATAGAAAATATAGAAGTTTATTAGCATCAAATATTTTAAATTCTATGATTTAATACAAGGAAAATAATGTGTGTGTGTTTTTTGTGCTTGTGTGCACACACACACACATATATATATATATATATATATATATATATATATATAACAGAATAATTTTCAGTAAGTGAATGACAAAATGAAAAAATCCTATGACATTTTATTCTAAAAAGGAACTTTAGATTAAAAATGGTTTTAATAGAATTAGTTTATATATATATTTGTGTGGCGGGGGACATGTTGAACATTTGTAGTATTTCTCTCTAATTTCCTCACTTTACATCTAAGACTGATTCCATTAATAAAACTTTTAAGTCTGAAGAAGATCCTTCTTCTCAGAATGAAACATCTCAAATACATTTTGGGATCTAGTTTTCATTTAAGCACATACACCCATATATTAGGTGTATTTGGGCAAGTTTCCATTGAGGCAAGTTTAGTTAAAAATTCTTTGGAACAAACACACACATAAATATTATTTTATTTACATATGCAGAATTATATATCAGGTCATCCCATAAGTTCTGTCCGAATTTTGAATAAAGAAAACAAGTGACCAAATGTTACATTTAATTACAGATTCAATCAACAATGTATTTTCCCTAATTATCTATGAGTTCCTTCCATCTATTAACAAGCTTACTAATTCCATTACTGTAAAATTCTTTTGGCTTTGATTCAAAGAACACACAAATGTCAGTTTTAACCTCTTCCTGTGTTACAAAAGCTGTTTCTTCCAAATGGTTCTGTAAGCTACGAAATAAATGGTAGTTTGAAGGAGCAAGATTGGGAGAATAAGGTGAATGACGAATTTTCTCCCAACCAAGTTCTTCGATCTTTTGTGACGTGATTCTTGCTGTGTGGAGTCACGCATTGTCCTGATGAAACATCACCTCTTTTCGATTCACTTGAGCAGGTCTTTTTTTCCTCAAAGCTTGGTTCAAACGCTCTAATTGCTGACAGTATATTTGAGCATTAATTGTTGCATTAGGTGGTAAGAATTCAAAGTGGATTATTCCTTGGTGATCCCACCAGATTGAAACCTTTTGCCCATGAAGTTCCCTTCTCAGCTGTGGCTGGGGTCCTTCCCCATTACCAAGCCACTGTCTACGACCTTAACATTTCAATAAAAAGATCCATTTTCGTCGCCAGTCACAAGTCTATCAAAAAAGGTGAAACAAGTTGGCGAGAATAGAGAGAAGAGCAGATGTCAACTTGGGATTTGAGGTTGTTTTCAGACAATTCATGAGGCACCCATTTTCCAAGTTTAGGAACTTTTCCAAGTTGTCGAAGATGACGATGAACAGTTGTATGGTTTGAAACGAGAACCACTGCCAATTCCTCAACTGATAAAGCAGGATTTTCTTCAAGGGCTGTTTCAAGAAGCTTTTCATCAAACTCAACTGGACGTCCGGTTCGATCTTCATCTTCAAGGGTGAAATCTCCACCTCTGAATTTTGCAAACCATCTTCTGCAAGTTCTTTCATTCACACATTTCTCTCCATAAACTGAGTGAATGTTTCTAGCCACTTTGGCTGCTGAGTTTCCTTTCTTGAACTCATAAAGCATTATGTGCTTCAAATGATTCTTGGGTACTTCCATGTTAGCAGGGTTTTAATCAACAAAATTTAATTTTATTGTTCTCTGAAATAAAATTTGATCAGTTTAAATGCATCTAAACATAAAAATAATGTTCAGCTCCATTAGACATTATAAAATACTCTTTAAATTTCGTTCATTTTAAAAAAAGGTAAAATTCGGACAGAACTTATGGGATGACCTTATATATATATATATATATATATATATATATATATATTCAAAATTATAACATATGCATGTTATAACATCAATACGAAAATTGCAATTTTGTTTCAACACTGCTGGTATCTTATAAAGTGATGGTGTTGATTGCAAAATAAAGGGTTTTAAGAGTTCAAAACCCAACCAACCCCCCCCTCAGTATGTGTGTGTATATATATATATATATATATATATACACACACACTACTGATGTGATTTTCTTTCTCCCTCATATGTAATATAGTGCACAGTGAGTGCTGGTAGTAATAAAACAGTGCTCAATGTAAAATAATGCAGCTAAAATCCATACTAATAATATACATTTTATTTCTCACTGTTTGATACAACTGAGCACATAGTAATCATCAGGCACCGATTGGAAAAATGACCATTGCAATATTTAAATATTAATAACCTAATGTTAAGATAATAGAATAATTCATTTACTTATGAAAAAAATGCAAATATACATATCTATGCACATATATACTCTCCAATATATCCCATAAATATAATTTAAATACATTTTATACACATCATACATATTTTTGAAATACACATTATGGAATATATTATTATTACTACTACTACTACTACTACATAAAAATGGTTATTTTTAGTGGATACCAGTGTTTGAGTAGATTTCCTGTTTTTTAAACAGTGTCTATTACATGTACTGGTCTGCACATTTGAGAAAACTTAAGATTTTTTTTTTCTTTTAAATACTTTCTTGCTCATCCCAGGAACTTTTTCAGCAAACCTTCAAACTATTTTTTATATCTATATATGGAATGTATATATTTAATTATCTATGTAGTAAATATGAATATGCATTTTTCTGTTACCTGTAAAGATGTTTGTGGCTTCCGGATGTCCCAATGTGAGAACTTTCTGAAGTCCCATGAAATAAACATAGTTGGCAGAGTTGAGTGTGATTGGGATGCCATAAATACTATGTGCTACTGGAAAGAGACAAGACTTTCTGATTAAAGCAAATTAAAATTTAATTTCTTTTTTTTAGTACTAAATTATAAAAGAATCTTGAAAAAAAAAAAAAAAAAAAAAAAAAAAAAAAAAAAAACACACAAAGAAAATAAACTATAAATTATCTCCAAATATCTTGTGCTGAGTGAAAATGAAAGATTTTAAATGAGTCAAACAGAATTTAAGATGTCTGTAAAACTGCCATACATTGAAGCTTGAATTACAAAATTAAAAAGAAAATTTCAAAATTATTTAGATTAAAGAATCTACATTAACATAAAACTTGATCCAAGGCTGTATGTACACCATAAGTTAAACTGAAAACTGAGAAAAAAATATTGTATGTTTTCTAATACTCTTTCCAATGTTTTTTTTCAGATTATAAATTTAATTCCCTTTTGTTAATCAACAGTTCAACCATCCTTTGTAACTAGGTCCTCCATGATTGGAGTGAATGAGAAAGTCTGCATATACAACATCCCATGCATATGTGCAAAAAAATTTATATATATATATATATATATATATATATATATATATATATATATAAAGAGAAACCAGATGAGCTTGAGATTTAGAGCAAATGATGAAGTAAGAAAATTTGTTACAGGAAACCATATCTAAGCTCCCAGGAATGTTTTCATTATTATTACTTGTTTTACTGATCGAAGAATAAAAATTAAGTTTTAATAAAAGAGTGTTATGCAATTTCTAAAAAAAAAAAAAAAATCCTATAGAAACAGGTTCTAATTTCTTTTCCTACAATACTGATTATTAAAAAATAACAGAGATTAGATTTTACCTGGAATTCCTCGCCTTAATTTTGAGTTATCTTCAATGTCGTCAATACTGAAAGAGAATAGAGAAATGGAGTCGAATCAAGGGGAAGTAACTTAGTATAAAGAGAGGATCAATAAGAAAGTATTTAAAACCAGGAAACAAGAAATTGCAAAATAAAACTTGAAAGTATGCAAATTTATATAAAGACTTACAGTAAACTGGCATTATGCAAAATTTGTGTTACTTCCGCAATGAGTTGGAGTTTATCTTCAGGAATATTTAACCAATGATTGAAAGCCTAAAAAGGAAACAAGGATTTTCAATGAGTAAATTTATTAGAATTTTACATCACAAAGGTTTTGTTTATAATACTTTTTAGGTTATATACCGTTTCCTCCAAAACTGTTCTTGATATATAACAAGATAACAAGTATGAAAGACAGGGGTCTACTAAAAAAAAAAAAAAAAAAAAAAAAAAATGGTTACCAAATTAGACTTACAAGACAATTCACTGGTGTATCCTTATGGATGCAATTTAATTTAAAACCTGATTCATAATCAATAAGAAATCAATTTCCATTAGCTAAGCTTATTATTAATTTCCTTTCATAATTTCTTTGCTTGAGGTTTTTAAAACTATTTTGAACAAACATTAAAATATTTCTTTAGCTTTATAGAGGTTATAGACATGGCCAGAAAAAGAAAATACTTGGCATTATATATATCTATTGATTTTTTTTTTTTTCCAGATTATCAACCCTGGCTTATTTAAACTGAAATAAAATAAAATAAGCTGAAATATACGAGGCAAATTCAAAACAATTTTTAAACTTTTATGAGAGGCTGTTTTAACCCTCTCTAGGACAGTTAAAGCTTCCTCTCATAAAAATTATAATATATCATTACTGCACATCTAAGCTGACCTACCAACTTTTGTTATTCCAGATTGAAGGAGATAGCTGTTGTAACAGATCTTTGAACACATTCTACTAAACACTGCATTTCACAACTGAATAGTTTGCAGAATGCAGTTAGGATGTGAAGACAATTTAGAAGCTCAGATTGCAATAAAGTTTTGTGTTGACAGAGTTGGATACCAAAACTGTCCCTCACCCTCCTTACAGTTCAGACTGTTCCCTGGGATTTTTGGTTATTCCCCAAGCTGAAGAAAAACCTCGGGGGCAGTAGTTTTAAAGACTGAGAAGATGAAGGAAGCTGTGACAAAGGTCTTGGACACCTTCACTTTGGAAGACTTCCATGGGGCCTTCACAAAGTAGGCTAGAGCACTACAACAAGTGCATTCAAGTCAGAGCATTCTACTTTGAAGGCGATTAGAGGTTTGTACTGCTTTGAAATTAATAAATGCCTCTCATGAAAAAGTCACAGGACTTTTGGAATGCGTCTTGCATTTTGGATTCTAAAAATAATTTTTATTTTGCAACTAAATATTGCATCAATTTTTTTTTTTTTTGAGAATAACAATGGAGAAGGATTGATACCTTTCCTAAGGGGATTTGTGCTCAATTGAATGTAATGAACTTGATTGGTCATTATAAATTTTATAAATTATAATTCAATTGTTCAATAAACTTTACAGTGACTGTTCTTTATTAATTAAGAGTAACGGCATTTTTTGAAAATGATCGTTAAAATGCTATAAAAACTTTTTTTTTAAGAATAGAATGTCTAGTATTGTTAGAAGCAAATAAATACAAACTATCAGAAATGCAATATTCAGATAAACACATACTTACTGCTGTAAGTCGAGTTCTGAATTTTTTGCCAGGAACTCTACAGATATAATGATAAGGTTCCAACAGAATCTGCAAAAAATTAACCAATTTTAAATTTAGTCAAATATTAAGAAAACTTTTTTTTTCTTTCTTTTTTAATTTTCTCAAAGCATTTTGACAAGAAATTTAACATGAAGCAGAAGAAAAGAAAAATAAATGCAGAGTTTGACACTTTGAACCCTAACTCCCTGCTATTCATGACGCTAGGCAATATACTAGCTAGTAGAGTTCAAAGGATTAATATAAAGACTTTTAGACTTGTCAAACAATTTTAAATATAAAGGATTAAATTAATTCTGATGAATATAATTATGAGAATTATACAGTAATCACTTCAAATTAGTGGTTTAATCTTGGTGGTTGGAGTATAGATTATCTCCCCTTATACGTATTCTGCATTTAACTAAGTTCAATATGACACGCTTCATTCTAAGTGGAATAAAGCTTCAGTTAAGTTACACCTGCGTCCGTTATGAGAAATGAGAAATTAAATTTTAATGAGAAATTAAAGTGGTTAGTCACCCCCTCTGGACAACTTCAGGGGTGTTGTAGTTGGTAAACATCTGGGAATTTCAAATCAAAAGTTTTATTTAAGCCAAAATTTCAATCTGATGTTCATACAAGAGGAAATTTCAAATCAGTTTTTTTTTTTTTTTTTAATTCAATTTGCCAGAATATATAACTGGGAAAGAACAGACATAAGACTTAAAGTTTCAAAACTCCATTATTTGATTATTCTACATGACAATGGCCTTGAGGTTAAGTTGCTTAAGTGTATATAATTGTGAATGTGGTTAAGTGATTGGGTAAAACAAATTCTGCCAATTTTTCTATATTTGAATATGTACATAGCACCCAAATTAGAATGATACTTAACAATCTAGTCTCATTGGTCATTAATTGATTTTTTTTATAGTTATCAACCTTTTGTCAGTTATTTAAAGCTGAAAACAGATTATATTTTGGATTCTGATTTTTTTTTTTTATCTTTTTTTTTTTAACAATATTTTGCAGTTTTTCTTTCCAGATGCAAGTACCACTATTTAATCCATAACTAGGGGGGTGAGATAGATTCAGACCATTCCCAAGTGTATTTGTGCATAAGTGAATGTAATGAACCCAACTGGAATTAGAACTGAACTCTCAGATTTCTTATTTGCAGTTGCTACTCATTACATCACCCACATCCTTCTTGTTGGCCATAACAAGTGTAGTGAGTGCATTCCCCACTAGGTGCTCAATTATTATGACACTATGCTGATCTTACTGAATATCTATTTATAATATTTGTTATAAAGTGACAATTAGTGAATTCAACACTCACTGGGAACTTCATTTATACAGCCTAATGCCTGATTAGTTTAAGAAGTTTCTGACAGTGCAATTGTTAGCAAATTAACCTTGCAGGCCATTATGTTATTGTAATGTATTAAAACATTAAGTGCTCAGTTGTGTATAGCCTTGTGCCAGACTAATTTAGGTATCTACCATAGAGTGAAGATGAGCAAAGTAGTCACACAAATCCATCACCTGTGGGGGTGGAGGGAATCAAATAAAATAAAATAATAAAAAAAAAAAACAAATACATTTTCTCATGATGCTAAGAGTAAAGGAACTGGAAATATGATTACCCCCACTTGGTTCCATCAAATGCAGTTAGGTGGAGCTGATTAACTCTATAAAAAGAGGCAAACATTTCCTGCCTCACTCTCTTTCTGTACATGAAGATGTAGCAGCACATGGAAGAAAAGGAATGTCACAATGAGGCACATTAGATACTCACATCCACTGATGACTGAGTCTCTCCATTTTCCAATGCATGGCATTTGCATGTGGCTTCCAAAACCTCCAACAATAAAACAAGTACAAACTTTTCTTTGGTTGTTCTGACTTTGACCATTAATATGATTCTTATACTTATTCTAACACTTGGACCAAAATGAAAACAGACATACCCAAGAGACATTAAGAAATTTGTTTCCCTGTTTATATAGAAAAAGAAGAGAATAAACAAATTGTGGTAGAAAGCCAAGTTTTTGTACGTTTCTTAGTTTATCCAATGTTAACATACACACACCTAAGATATACACATACACACAACCTTCTAAATACAACTATCAATAGTTTAGTGACTTTGATCATGACCCTACACCAGATTAGGCTATCTGTGCATGTAATTCACAACTAAAAATATAATTTATTGAGTATATCTGGATTGAATGTTAGCAAATTAAAATTTAACAATTGGTAATGATGAAATTAGCTGTTTCTAGATGAGAAACATCCAGCATTCATTGACTGAACAGTCAGTGTTACTCTTAAGGAAAATTCATAAAATGTTCTTAAAACCTCCCTCCCACCCCAGGAAATTAGTCTTCTCAAGTTCACTGTTATTGCTCTTTCTAGTACTGATGGAAGTTTCCTTCCACAATTTTTGTTTTTGGTACTGTGAAAGGTAACATCTTGATTATATCATTATTTTCTCTTCTAGTTATGTGCTATCCATTCTTGTTATTCTTGCTGTTGGAATGATGCCATTTTTTAACAGCATTATCCACACTTAAAAGACAAACTCATACCATCAACAAAGCTGAATACTCACCTTATCAATAGCAGGATCAAAGGTGTTGCTACAACTATCACAGGAAGATCCTGAAGTCTGCAAATAACAAAAGGACACTGTAAAACTGATCAAAGTTTGAATCCTTGGAAATGGCTCAAAGAGGAATTAAGAAAATTACCTTAAGTGTCTTCTCAATACTCTGAGCCTGTTTGAGATTTGATGTCAATAAGGAATTGCACATTGCCTACAAAGAATAATGGATACCTTAATGAAAAACTAGTTGCTTATTTTTTTTTTACTTCATTTGTTTTCTTCTAATACTATTATGATTAGACCAGGGTTATAACGATCTTAAAATCACATTGGACATGCAATTTTATATAGCCAGGTTAGCATTTTAGAAATAGTTTTCTAAGACAATAAAAACGCTGAAATAAAATTATCAAAGTTGAGATATAGATTGCAGTCACTTATAGAAAAAATTTCTTTTTTTTTTTATATCAACAGTTATTTAACTGTTCTTATGTGAAAGGTGAAAACCTAATTTGAATTAAAAGCAAAAAGATTTTCACTTTAAAAGGAAATTTCATAGTACACAAAAATGGTAACAAAAACATTTAATGAATTATGATTGAAATGATATGAATTAATACATTGAAAATACAACTTTGTATTTTTTAAAACTTTAGTTTTAATATTGATCAATAACAAGGCAATAGATAAAAAAAAAATTCAAAGTATTAGAACTGACGGCATTCTGTCAAATAACTTCCAGTAATGGAAAGAGGTAAGCAGACTGCAAGCTCACTAATTTTTAAGACAAGTAGTTCTTCCCCACTTGTATGATTTGTGTAAGACAATCATCCCATCTTTTATCCATTTGGCTTTAGTAAACATCTTAGTAAATATTAGTAGATATGATAGTATCAAGTGCATTTACAGTCTTACACATTTATAAATCTACCATTTTTCCATAAATTGAATACTGTTGCTATATCTGGTCTTGTGTTTCTGCTGTATATGACAAAATTCAAAGAAGAGTGTTTAGGGTAATCAATCCTGACTAGGCTTTTCAACTTCAGTTACTTTCTCAGCAATAAGACAGAGCTTTCCTCTGTCTTTCCTACAAATACTTTCATAGAAAGTATTCTGGTGAACTTTTTTCCTCTGCTACCTTAACTACATCAGTGCTACTCAAAGTGGTGGTCCACAGACTGGAACCAGGCCATGCTAAGGAATCATTTGTAAAGATTAAGGTTATATAATTTTTGTTTTTGTGTTAATAAACTGCTTATTTTTTTTTTATTACTTTTTATATGTTTTGATATTGAATTAGTTTTTAGCAAAATAAGTGGAAGATAAAAATAGTCAACTTTTGTTTTATATATTTCCAGTATAAATTAATATTACCATAAAATATTACAGGTACATGACACATTGAGAAAAAAAATATGCCAGTCCACCAGTTTGAGAAGCACTGGACTACATAAATTTAATCATGCTACTAAATTGGCAACTACTGTAAATTGTAACATACAAGTTGACTTCAAGATTTTCAACTCAAAAGTTTTAGTTATCCCTATACTTATTGTATAGGTCAACCCCTAAACATACAGTAGGCTACCAGTGACACAAAAATATTTTTTAGGCTTGAAAACTTGATTTGTACATTGCAATTTATGGTAGGTCTGTTTTACTATTGAACTGGATGAAACTGTCACTTCTATGCTAAAAGATTCTTTTTTTTTTTCTGCACTTTCTTCCTTCCTTGCCACCTACAATCTTCAAAAATTTAAAAGCAACACCAATCATCAGCTTTTGTATTCTTGAATCATGTTCTTTTATTGTCCTTTCCTTACTAAAGTTTTCTCATTCTCTTTCACTTCCTGTAACTCCCTGCTAATTAGTACCTTATCGCATTGCTTGGAGTGAAATGGTTAAAAATATATATATATATATATATATATATATATATATATATATATATATATATTACACAACAAAATACAAAATTACCTCACATGAGTATAGATCTATTTCAACCAACACAAAGTACATTAGTCTCATTCAACTCCGGTGTATGGACTGTGTTCAATGTCAGAATCAGTGATTTAAAATTTAACTTTGACATCTGGAAGGTTTGAGCCCACAGATAATTTAGAAGATTATAGGTTCCACATGTACTCCTAAAAGTCTTAGAGATAGATATGACTTATGTTTAGAAGAAAAAATTAGAATAATAAAATACAATAATCAAAGCTAATATACTTCCATGATATTCACTCCCTTCTAACTCTTCAAATGTTGAAAGTATAACTAATTCTAATTTCTATATTTCCCCTCTATAATCTCTCCACACTATATTATTTATAATTTATAAACTTTCTCCTATTTCAGCTTTGTGCCACATCTTAGCTATGCTTGGAAAATCATTATAAACTTTCTCCTACTCTAAGATATCCCCAAATCTCTTTCCATTAATCAATTACATCCTTTTATCTATATATTTTAAAGTTATTTTTAAACCCCTTTTTATTCCTCTTTTAAATTATATATTTCATTCTTCATAAAGCCTCAAATTAATGTCATAATGTTAATATCCAAGTTTAATTTTATAAAAAAACTTCTTCCCTTTAAGACAAATACTTTTCACCCTCCACTGACCGCTGTCTTGTGCCTTTTGCCTGACTGAAACACTGAAATGGATAAATTCTGTATTAGTTTTTTGACTGTTTTTTTGTTTTTTTTAAAGCTTTCAGTTAAATTTCTGACACAAACTCAGTCCACATCGGGGCTGATAAGACAGACAACCAAAATAGACTATTCCCCATATGAGGTGATTTGGGATTTTATTCTTTATTAATTATAGTTAGGTTTCGAAAAGCTTTATGAAATTTGCATTTCGTCTAGGTTCTTAGGTTTACTACCTCAAAAAAAAAAAAAAAAATTAATTAATTGAAGTATGACCCAAACTAAAATAAATACATAAAATAAAAATATTTAGTGAAATAGCAATTAAGAAAAGTAAAAAATATTTTATATTTTGAAGGGATGATTTGCAAAGATGTTAATGATGAAACAGAACTGAATATTAAAAGTAAAATAATTGCAGTGTGTCAGACAACACTTAAATCACATGGCCTTTTTAAGGATTATGTCATGTATAGATTCCTATAGGTAAAAATTAGGAAGGTGTTTTTTTACTAAAGATTATTTTTAAAATTCTTAAAAAAATATTTGGGTATAAATGACTGTTCTGAGCTTTTCAAATTTTGATTTGTAAATATACTTTTCACTTAAAAAATTAATTATTCATCAAAAAATTTTTATTTCTTCAGACAATCGTGTCCTTAATATAACTTATTTACAAAAGCAATTAAAAGCTTTTCTAATTAAATAATGTCAGTTTTATTGCATTTTTTATTTTACAATTCAGAGCAGATTTTTGATGTAACAGGTAACTATTTAAAAAAAGAAAAAAAAGAAAAGAAAAAATTGATGATTTACTATCTTCAAGGAGTTCTCTTTTTAACTAATAACCCCACCACCACCAACATAAAAATTTAATTTCTGTGAAATTTCATGAAATTAAGTATGTGGGTGGTAACATATGTATAAAGAAGAAAAAAAAAATCATTCATTTCTGAATATGTCCTGAAAGTTTCATTAAAATCCAACAATTATTTGAATGTTGCAAGAATTTCCAAATCAATGTGTTTTTTGCAAAAAAGAAAAAAAAAAACAAAAAAGCATTCATATTTAAGGTAAATATTGCAATATTTGGTTAAAGTTGTTAAGCTTAAATATTTAACAATGTGATAGAGGAATTTCTATGGATATTTTATTGTCGTAGAACTCAACATGAACTTATTCATGATTAAGATTCAGTAGAAAATTCAAATAGGAAAACTAAAATTTTCATGGGTATTTCTAGTTATGTATTAATGAAAATCGTAAAAAAAAAAAAAATTAAAAAATTAAAGAAATAAAATTTTAAGATATCTCACAGGTTTTTTTGGAATAGCATTTTCATTCACACTGTTTTCTTCAACACTTCGTTTTGGGTTGGTAATTCTCCGATCGTCTTCAGGCATCATTTCTTGAGCTAGTTAATAGTTTTTCCTTTTTTACCTCATATATATATATATATATTTTTATATATATATATATATATATATATATATATATATCTATATTGCCTCAGTTCTGGGTCACCTGAAAGAAAAAAGAAACAAAAACAAAAGTCAAGATAATCTAACAAAGTCTACATATGGGAAAATTAGCACCAAAAACAAAAATGGACATGAAAAAAAAAAAAAAAAATTTATGATTCAAATTGAAGGAAATCTTTTGGAATATAAAGTTGTCAATCAAAATGACTGGCTGAATTTCCCAACCCCCAGATTCAATTATGAAAATTCATTTATATAAATAATAAAATAAAAATTGCTCATGTTTGTTTTTATGTAAATCAGATTTTTAAGTGTCCTAGAATGTGTATGTGGCATTTATTCCCCCCACTCAACATTTCTACTCAATCTATTTCAGATGATTCCATTTTTGCATATAAATCAACAGGACAGTTTTTACTAAAAATTGAAACACCAGTTATCATATGATCACCAAAGTTAAACAATGTTGAGAGTGGTCAATACTTAGATGAGTAACCACTTGGGAATCTCATGTTTTGTAAGCTTGAATGTACAAGTGGAATGATGGATAATGGCTCGGAATTGAAAATTGGAGAGCTGAGTTCCAATTCCAGTCAAGCTTGTTACATTCATTTATGCACAAATACCCTTGGGAAAGATATGAATTCACCTCTTTTCCCCCAGATATGTGTTAATTAGTAGGAGTTGTATCAGTAAATTGTTATCTCCAAAAAATTCTTAAATCTAAAAATAATTTCTGGCTTTAAATAAACTGCGAAGGGTTGATAAGCCATAAAATCCTGCTATCCTTTACCTTTACAAAAGCCAGATCAGGCCAGAAATGCAGTACTGTTGTCATATTTAGGCAGGAGCAACCCAGACCTCACTCTCCAGCCTTGAGTCAAAAAGTATCTCAGAGTCCTTGTGGGTGATGAATTATTCCCCAACCTCCAACCTTTCTCCTACAGGCCAATCACTACTATATTGCTACTTCCACAGAAAGTGGTCAGACAAACTACATTCTCCTGTCCTGCTAGTTCAAACCTTCACGGCAAGGACACAACATGCCATTTACATAGTAACAAACCACCTACTTTTTCTCCATATTCCATTGGTGAGAAGTAAGTAACAGCTTCTTCCTGCAAACTAATGTTCTGTGGAACTACAATCTTAACCTGTTCAAGGCAAGGGTTAACAGTTATCTTCCACTCCTAACATAACCCTCTACCTTGAGTGGCCCCCCGAGGCCTTGTAAAGGGTAAACCTTACTGTTAAAAAAAAAAAAAAAAAATCAATCAATTAATTCTGAATGTTTATGATGGATTCAGTTTAGGTGCCATCACTGCTTTCTTTCTAATTCCAGAGAATCATGAAAAGAACTTTCTTTGAGAAATTGAGATAAGATGAGTGTGTGATAGAGATAGATATAAATAAATAAAAAATAAACTTGAAATTGATTTTTAAGCTCTTACAATTAAGCTTTCATGTATGAGTTTTTTTTAAATTCTTGTACAGATCTAGTCTCCTGGTTTTGTAAATATCTCTCAACAGCCAATCCCTGTCATAAAGGCACTGCCACTTGGCAGTGCAAAGATCCTACATATATTTGTTGGCAACTCTTCAGTAATAAAAGATTTGATATATGTAAATTACATCTAGAACTTATTTCCTCTACAACTTGATTATGATTCCAGAAATAATCCTGAAAAGAATTTTTACCAAAGTAAAACAAAATATGTAACTAAGAAATGTCTAATTTACAATCTCTTTTGTCAATTAAAAATGTTATTGCCATTAGTCACATGTCTCGAGGTTTGTTTTTCAGTGACACCTGTATGGATGATGCCTCTGTAAAAATATATCGGCTTCAATTACTTGCCTAAAAGAAAGAAAAAATTCTATTTACTTCTAAGTTTCCAAGAAAAAAAAATTACAATTAAAAGGAGAAAGTATATTTTGGGAGGTAAAACTGTTCAGTGAAATTGCTTTCTCAAAGTACCTATATTTTTTTTATCTGAATGATAAAAGAGAAACTCGAGTTATACCCTGAATGGTTACAAATGGTGGTCAGTAAAGATAAATCTATATAACAGAAAAATGGTAAAAACCCTATTTTCTTAATGTGGAACAAAATTTAAATGCTTTAAAACATTCCCCTGGGACCAGTAAGTATATATAAATAACATGAGAGAAAGAGAGACAGAGATAGAGAGACAGAGATAGAGAGAGAAATAGATATAATATATTTTCAAATGGCTTTTTTTTTTAATTCACTGATAGTTCCTCCAACACAAAGTTCAAGGGCAACTCAAGGTAGAGGGGTTTACTGAGTGAGAATAGAAGAAGGAATAAAGAAATATATAGGATAAATATCATTTGACACTAGACTTAAAGACACCAAGATTGTAGTTGTCAGGAAAGTATCTTAATGGGACAAAAAGGAATAATTCTAAAAGACTAACTATAATACAACAAACACATACACCAGTAGCAATAACAACAAAATTGAGAGTAAACAAAATAAATTAACATCAAAATTATGAAAACGAAGAAATAATCAATATCTTCACCTAGTAAATACTATACCAAATCTCTTAATATTTTGTGTATATTTCTAGAAAAATAATGATGAATTCAAATGACTGTTTTATCCTAGTATTTTCTGGCAACAATGTATTTATTTTTTTAACAGCTGTGAATTCAAATCCATTTTCATCCACATTAATACGCTTCAAGTAACAGAATCTTGAAAACAGTTCCCACGTGTCCTGATTTAAAATGAATAAAATATGATATTCTGTGAACATACAGCTTTAAAGAAACTTTGTTTTGTGCAGAGGAGAGGTGGGGAAGGGTAAATCCAGTGAATATTGTATATTAAATTATGTCTGCAGTTTCTTTTATATTAAAAAAGAAAAAAAAAACAGAAAAGAAAAAAGGTTTAAAAGGAATGGCAAAGAACTACTGCTGAGAAGTAAAGCTCTTAAAATTTATTGCAGAACAATTTTTTTTTTAGTAATGTCTTCTATAACTTCACACACACACACACATATATATATATATATATATATATATATATATATATGTGTGTGTGTGTGTGTGTGTGTGTGTTCAAAAAAATTCGATGTTACAATTATGATCAAATTGATATATTATATATACCTTTTGTTTTCAATATTTATTATATAGTCTGTAATATTTTATACTATATTTACTGACTGATAATGGATACTTTTTCAATCACCAAATATTACACACCAGAAAATATTGCTATTATGGATTGGACATTGAGTATGGTCAAGCACAACAATTAAAAAGGTTCATGTAAAAAGGGGCATTTTATCATATGACATATATAGGTTCAATAGGGAAAAAAGTGATTCAATAACTGAAGAGTAAGTAGAGGCATAATATTTTAAAAAGTAGGTAAAAGTTAGTTGTCTGCTTTCATTTTACATTATGAGTGAAGCAAAAAAAAAAAAAAAACTAAAATAATTTTTAAGATCAGTATGACAATTCTATCCCCTTTTAGAGTAGTGTTTAATGTAAAAGTAAATTACTGATATACAGGCATCAGAAGAGTTCCATCCAATCAGCAACCATCATTAATCCAGTTATTTTTTCTGTTTCATATTTACAGGCATCAGGAGAGTTCCATCCAATCAGCAACCATCATTAATCCAGTTATTTTTTCTGTTTCATATTTACAGGCATCAGGAGAGTTCCATCCAATCAGCAACCATCATTAATCCAGTTATTTTTTCTGTTTCATATTTACAGGCATCAGGAGAGTTCCATCCAATCAGCAACCATCATTAATCTAGTTATTTTTCAGTTTCATATTTACTGCTTTTAACGCCATGCATTGGCTGATATATTCTTTAGCCTTCTTTAAACGTGTGCATGTATTTTAGGTATATTACTTTATACACATTTCAAGGATCTTGAGTCTTTCATTTCAGTCAGTGCTCTGTAGTATTTTGGTCAATATTTGTTTAATAATATCTAACCAAACACTAACCAACAACCTCAACCCCCACCCCTCATGTAAAAATATTGTTTATGTACTCTCATGCCATCAGGGAGATGGCATCACCAATAAAATACCAAAAATAAAAAAAAAAATTTTTTTACATCAGCAACTCTTGTATGCTGTCATGACTTTGTGATATAGAAAAATTGCACTAAGGACAAAAGTATAACTATCAACATCTAGTATCCATTTGTAAAAAATAAATTCCAATCTTGCTTTTTCTCATATTAATACTATTAACAAGTGACCTAAAAACTCAGTCCTATGACTGTTAAAACTAGTGTCCTATTTATATTATTTACATTTGAACTAATATCATCATTATTATTATCATCATCATGTTAGATCTATTGTGCCTTCTTCAGGTAATGTGTTTGTGTTGAGTTGAAAAGAAAGATCATCAGATGCAACCTGTGCATGAGGAAGCAAAAACACTGCATTAGAAACAACTAAGATGAAAATAATGGAATAATGAAACTATTTCCATGTTGAAACTCAGGAAAACAAGCAGCAACTGCCCCCCCCCCATATTTTCTGAACATATCACTCAAGAGGAAGAATGAAGAAAAGATTGCAAATTCAAAAAATCATACAATTCAAAATTAAAACATCAAAAATTAATTTCAAGAATTCTTTAAGACAACTGAATTTATTTATTTTTTTTTTTTTTTTTTAAACGGTATTTTGGCAGAATAGATTTCAGCAAAGTATATTTCTTTGCTGAGGAGGAAATAAAGATCATCTCCATTTATAAATATGGAATTATCTGTGTGGAACAGGTGGCTTAGAATAGAATCATTTGTATGGCTGGTTTTGCTGAGAATGAGCTAAGCAATATTTCTCTATCTTTTCTCCATCTATTTATGTAGAAAAGAATCAACCTCCTATTTAAATTTAAAGCCAAAATTTCTAAAATTCAATAAAACATTAGATTAAGGAGAATATTTTCTTCAATTATGTTTTACAGATAAAGTCTCTGTAGAACAACATATCTGTCATCACATTGTCAAACATTTCAACACTGCTACCAT